CATTGTATTACCTATTATAAAACACAGAGAGCCTTGGCACTCACCCTTTAATATTCAAAAACAATCTATCCTTGCATGGGTGCAATCCTCAGTGTTTAGTATATAACAAAAAATATGTACAAGGAGCACTCACAGATCTTCATCAAAATTCTGATTTATTTGTTAGTGCAAGTTACATGTGCCGATCATCTAAACCTGTACATGTAACTTGCACTAACGAATAAATCAGAATTTTGATGAAGACCTGTGAGTACTCCTTGTACATATTTTTTGATATATATATATTCCAAATTAATCTAGCTTGAGAATACCTAATTAAATCTTAATAGAGAATACATATTCCACCAATGGAGACCATGGTTTATAGTACGAAGAGCGAATCCCCTACACTACCGCTGTAAGCTTGTCTTTGAATGGATTCTATACAAATCTGTATTCCTAACACTATAGTGCCTTCTGACCCTCCATCCCTCGTGCCCCTCCCTACCCCCATAGCATATAAAGGGTTCAAAAAACCTTTATTCACCTACCTGATTTCAGCGCCGATGTCCCTTGGTGCTCCGCCTCCTCTGAGGTCATCTAACGGGGGAACCTAATGCATATGTGTGGCGAGTGCAAGTTTTCCCTGACACTCATCAGTTTTCACTGATAGGCAGCCACTAAAGGAAGTCTTAGTCCCGCAAACTAATCATTGCAGTATCTATAAATGTTTTACATAGCAGGAGTAAGGGGGACAAGGACACTGAAATCAGACCAATTCAATGAGATGAAATTGTCTGGGTGCCTATAGTGTCCTTTTAAGATAAATATCCTTATTTTTTTCACATTCCCCAGAGATGAAGCCAAGTGCTCATCTAAAGCTTAATGTGATTTTGCTAAATATATACTATATATACATAATAAGTAGTGATGTCGCAAACATAAAATTTTTGGTTCCGAACGGCGAACGCGAACTTCCGCAAATGTTCGCGAACCGGGCAACCGCCATAGACTTCAATAGGCAGGCAGATTTTAAAACCCACAGGGACTCTTTCTGGCCACAATAGTGATGGAAAAGTTGTTTCAAGGGGACTAACACCTGGACTGTGGCATGCCAGAGGGGGATCCATGGCAAAACTCCCATGGAAAATTACATAGTTGATGCAGAGTCTGGTTTTAATCCATAAAGGGCATAAATCACCTAACATTCCTAAATTGTTTGAATAACGTGCTTTAAAACATCAGGTATGATGTTGTATCGATCAGGTAGTGTAAGGGTTACGCCCGCTTCACAGTGACAGACCAAACTCCCCGTTTAACGCACCGCAAACAACCGCAAACAGTCCATTTGCACAAGGTTGGATACCAAGCTAGCCATGTCCCGTTCCTTGTCCTCACTGATGTAATTGACGGTCTCTTCCTCCACCCAGCCACGTACAACACCAAGGGTCCCCAAAAAGTGACATCAAGCCCCCTGGGACGCCTGCTATGTTTGGTCTTCCACCTCCTCAAAGCCACCTTCCTCCTCTGACTCCTCTTCTTCAGACTCCTCTCTCTGAGTTGCCTCTCTCTGCATTATTATAAGGTGTGTTAAGTAGTACTATTCCTATCAGTTTAATCCCTGTTACGTCCCCTATCAGGGGACGTGTATATGGCATCGATTTTAGGAACCGGAAGATGGAAAAAGATTCTTGGTCGGTCCTCCAACTTAAAATTTGGGGCACTGTGCATGCAATCTAATGTGCCACCAGATAGGAGTGGTGTGTTAAGTAGTACTATTCTTATCAGTTTAATCCCTGTTACGTCCCCTATCAGGGGACGTGTATATGGCATCGAATTTAGGAACCAGGAGATGGAAAAAGATGCTTGGTCGGTCCTCCTTCTTCAAATTTGGGGCACTGCGCGTGCAATCTAATGTGCCACCAGATAGGAGTGGTGTGTTAAGTAGTACTATTCTTATCAGTTTAATCCCAATGTCACGACTACTAGTGTGGTCCAGCACGCAGAAAACATATACATAGGCAAGAAAAGGAAAATAAAAGGACAGAGCGGAAACCGGACCTTAGAATGGCCAGGACTAATACGCTAGAGACAGAGAATGGTCAAAGGGAAAGCCGAGGTCAAGGAAGCCAGAAAATACACAATACTGTTTACACAAGCTAAGTCAGGGAAACCAGAATTCAGAATAACCAGGGAAAAGCCAAGATCAGGATACCAGGAAATCAGATTCACAATGATAAAGCACTCTCAGGAAATCAGGAACAGGAAACCACGACAGGGCAAGGTACTGGGGTGAGCTAGGGATTTAAATATCACGCGGCGGGCCGGCAGCCGCGACACCCTGTTACGTCCCCCTCATCAGGCCTTTTTTAGTCGAATGTATCGCCCAGTGTCAGTCCCTTCGGGATCCATCCCTCATTCATCTTAATAAAGGTGAGGTAATCTAGACTTTTTTGACCTAGGCGACTTCTCTTCTCAGTGACAATACCTCCTGCTGCACTGAAGGTCCTTTCTGACAGGACACTTGAAGCGGGGCAGGCCAGAAGTTCTATCGCAAATTGGGATAGCTCAGGCCACAGGTCAAGCCTGCACACCCAGTAGTCAAGGGGTTCATCGCTCCTCAGAGTGTCGATATCTGCAGTTAAGGCGAGGTAGTCTGCTACCTGTCGGTCGAGTCGTTCTCTGAGGGTGGACCCCGAAGGGCTGTGGCGATGCGTAGGACTTAAAAAGCTCCGCATGTCCTCCATCAACAACACATCTGTAAGGCGTCCTGTCCTTGCCGGCGTGGTCGTGGGAGGAGGAGGATTACTTTCACCTCTTCCCTTGTTAGATTCCCGTTGTGCTGTCACATCACCCTAATACGCTGTGTAAAGCATACTTTTTAATTGATTTTGGAACTGCTGCATCCTTTCCAACTTGCCGTAATTCGGTAACATTTCAGGCACTTTCTGCTTATACCGGGGGTCTAGTAGCGTGGACACCCAGTACAGGTCGTTCTCCTTCAGCCTTTTTATACGAGGGTCCCTCAACAGACACGACAGCATGAAAGACCCCATTTGCACAAGGTTGGATGCCAAGCTACTCATGTCCTGTTCCTCATCCTCAGTGATCTCACTAAAGGTATGTTCTTCCCCCCAGCCACGTACAACACCACGGGTACCAGATAGGTGACAACAAGCACCCTGGGATGCCTGTTGTGGTTGGTCTTCCTCCTCCTCCTCACAGCCACATTCCTCCTCTGACTCCTCTTCCTCACAATCCTCTTCCAGCGTTGCCGCAGGTCCAGCAAGCGATGCTGATTGTAGCGGAGAGCTGGTATTACACAGCCTATCTCCACTTTGAATCCCAGGGAGGTTCAGGAACAAGCAATTATAAATCCATAGGGTAAAGTACCCAGCAGGCAAAATAACAGCAGTATCCCAACAGCAATCCCAATAACTAGACGTCACACAGTTTCAGGAGCGTAACTAAAGCTTTATTCAGACAGTGGCCTTTTAAAGCCTGCTCCCATGCAAGGGAGGGATTTTCATTCATTAGTACAGTAGCCAATCCTGTTCTGGTAACCTCCCACACCTCTCCTGCCCTCAGCCTGCATCATAATCCCCTTATCCAGCACACCAATTCCCCCCATTTCTGGATGTACCCCTAAACTTAGGGGTACCACTTTAAATCATACATCCCCTGGTAGCTCTGATCTGGGTGAACAACATATCCAAAAATCACCCAGATCAGACCAGGGGTTCGGGAAATTTATGGAGGGAATAAAATGACCGACCGCACTGGGTGAAACAGCCGAATGCGGTTCCATGTGAATGCGCCCTGTGGTCGGTCCTGGAGTCAGGGAATAAATGGCACAAAAACCTCTAGCTACAGAGGCTAGGGAGGGTTCGCCTGAATCCCCTAGTTCGGTTCTTTCTATCTACCGAACGAGGGGCCGTTCGGTAGTTGGGAACCGAACGGACCGGGCTTGTGGAGGTTTCAGCGGTGTTCGCCTAGTCGAGTGTCCGATTTGAGTTCCAGACACTCGACGGCAAAACACCGCTGTTCGGGAGTTTTAAAATGGCCGCCGCCACGTGTTCGTTTTTCGAATGGTGGCCACCCCCGAGAACAAAGGACGGCTACTTAGCTTGTCAATTACCCGTTCGCAACAATGTTGCAACGGGTAATTGAAGACACACTTCACACAGGGGAGGTCTGACTGTTCGGTAGTTTTCATTCGAACAAACTAAGGGAATGAAACTACCGAACATTCAGACGAATACAATACATTAAATACATAGAACTTTGCTGTTTTCACACGAATGCAATAAAGTACATGAAATTCCGCTACACTGCTCCCCCTTGCCCACAAGCCGGCATACAGTCTGATCCAACACAGATCGGCTTGGGGATGTCCGGGGAGGCTCACGGATCATTTCTCTAGGTCAGTTTGTCTTGACAACCCGTCAGCGTTCCCATTCTGTTTGCCCGGGCGGTACTGGATGTTAAAGTCAAAAGGCTGCAGCGCCAAACTCCAGCGCAGCAGCCTGGCATTGTCCCCAGCCACCCGGTTTAGCCAGACCAACGGGTTGTGATCCGTGAGCAAGGAAAAGGGCTGTCCATACAAATATGGCTGCAATTTCTTCAAGGCCCACACCACAGCCAGGCACTCCTTTTCGATGGTGGCGTAGCTCACTTCTCTAGGTAATAGTTTCCGACTGATGTAGGCTACGGGGTGTTCTCCGCCATCGGCCCCGACTTGGCTTAAAACTGCTCCAAATCCAAACATAGAAGCGTCTGTGTGAACAAGAAAACGTTTAGTTGGATCGGGAGCGGCCAAGACAGGGGCATTAACAAGTGCATCTTTCAACAGGTTGAACGCCTTCTCACACTCCGGGGACCAGGTTACTTGGCGGGGTACATTTTTACGGGTAAGATCAGTAAGGGGTTTGGCCAGGGCACTATAGTTGGGGACAAACTTGCGGTAGTATCCGGCCGTCCCTAGAAAAGCAAGGACCTGGGTTTTTGTCCTGGGGGTGGGCCATCGGGCTACTGCCTCTACCTTAGCAGGTTCAGGTTTCTGCTTCCCACACCCCACTCTGTGTCCGAGGTACTGTACCTCTGCCATCCCTATACTGCATTTTGCTGGCTTCAGGGTTAATCCGGCTTCTCGGATTCTATCTAACACTGCCCCTATATGGGCCAAATGTTCCTCCCAAGTGTTGCTAAAGATGGCTATGTCATCTAAATACGCACAAGTATAATCCTGAAATCCATCTAGGAGTCGGTCCACCATCTTCTGGAAGGTAGCGGGTGCGTTTTTCATCCCAAACGGCATTACCTTAAACTGGTATAAACCGAATGGGGTGACAAAAGCGGATTTAGGAATGGCCTCAGGTGCCAGGGGAATTTGCCAATACCCCTTACATAGATCAATGGTCGTGAGGTAGTGACCTCTAGCCATCCTGTCTAATAATTCCTCTGTCCGAGGCATAGGGTATGCATCGGATACCGTCTTTTCATTTAACCTCCTGTAATCCACGCAGAAGCGAGTTGTGCCATCTCGCTTGGGTATGAGTACTACAGGGGATGCCCAGGGGCTATCTGATGATTCAATCACCCCTAGGTGGAGCATCTCCTCAATCTCCTTACGCATGCTCTCCCTTACCGCTTCAGGGATGCGATACAGGGTTTGGCGCATGGGAAGCTGCCCTGGGGTCTCTACCCGGTGAGTGGCCAAAGGAGTGTACCCAGGTATATTGGAGAAGGTTTCCTGTTTCTCCCTTAATAACTGTTGTACCTCGGTACGCTCCTGTGGGCTCAGCCGATCCCCCAGAGTAACTTCCCCCAAATCCCGGACAGTCTGCTGTCCCCCAGGAGATCTGGGAGAGGCAGGCTGTCGAACTCTTCATTGGAGGGGGCGCAAATCGCGGTTACCTCCTCTGAACGTTCCTGGTAGGGCTTCAGCATGTTCACATGGATCATGCATCGCCCCCCAGTCCCTGTACAGGCGCCAATGATATACGTGGTGTCGCATCTCTGCTCCATCACTTTATATGGGCCTTGCC